ATTATTATTTTTAATGTTTTCTTTGGCGTAATTTCATTTATGTTTAATCATGTGTTTTTAGATGCAGAACCGCCTGCACCTACAAAACAGGCAGAGTGGTGGGAAACTTATATTCAGGAAAATGACTTTGAAGACTTGAGAGCAAGCCCCAAGATACAGATGCTCTTTTCTATCTTGAAGGACTGTGAAGAAAATGGTGAAAAATTGTAAGAGTATATGTACATTTTATTGACAGTACTAGTAATAATTTTAATTTTTGCCATTTCCTTTCTATCTTTAAAAAAAAAAATGTTGAGTGAAGGAAAGATTTAATTCCTGACCAGAATGTTAGTTAATTTTTACGTGTGAATTTGCAGGCTTGTTTTCAGTCAGTCTTTGTTTTCATTGGATGTTATTGAGTACTTTCTGGCAAAAGTTGATGAAGCAACTCAGAATGATACTGTGAATGAGCTTGTAGATGGCCATCGAGGCTCTTGGTCACCAGGAATTGATTATTTCCGGCTAGATGGTTCAACTCCTACTGAACAGCGGAGCCATTCGTGTAATATTTTTAACAAAACAACTAACGTGAGGTAACACTCATTCAATGTTTTTACTATACTTTTGATTTATTGGTATTATTGTAAAACTAACAGATATATATTGTCCTATTGTCAGAGCAAGATTGTTTTTGATATCCACGCGAGCTGGTGGCCTTGGAATTAACCTTGTAGCTGCAAACAGAGTTATAATATTTGATGCATCATGGAACCCATCCCATGATGTACAGAGTATTTTTAGGGTCTATCGCTTTGGACAGAAGAAGCCTTGCTTTATTTACAGATTTCTCGCTCAGGTATCCTTGAATAATTTTGAAAATAGCCACCATAGAACACCCACTTTCCAATGCCATTTAAATATTTAATACCTATTATTAACTTTTCTGCCCAGGGTACAATGGAAGAGAAAATCTATGAGCGTCAAGTCACCAAATTGTCGCTAGCTGGTCGAGTTGTAGATGAACATCAGATAGAGAGATATTATAAAATGGCTGACCTTCAAGAGTTGTATCAATTTACTCCTGCTGACCGCACTTCATATGAATCACCTAAACTCCCCAAGGTTAGTGAGCATCAACCTGACAGTCACCATTGTTGAAAGCATTGAGTATCTACCTCACTGATTATATTATATACAACCAAAAGAGGAAAAGAAATGTATTGCCTGCATTTTCTCTTTTATCTATCTAGGATCGGTTGTTTGCCGAAATTCTTAAAAAACATGCTGAATTAATAGTGAAATACCATGAGCATGACTCTCTTCTGGAAAACAAGGAGGAAGAAGAGCTGAATGAAGAAGAAAGGAAAGAAGCATGGGAAGATTATGAAAATGAGAAGAAGGGACCAATTAGCCAAGTGCAAGCAACCCCTGGTTTAGGTGAGTTGGGTAAGCAGTAGTGTTGTTAGTTTTTCCTTTACATTGTTATTTATTATGAAATTTGATTAAATTTCAGAACCCTTACCGTCAATCGAACAGTTTGAATTATCTATCAGAGCCAGGGTAAGTTGAAGGTTGTGAAGGAGTATCTTGTGCTTTGAAAGTCCCTTGATGAGTAAAAGAGGTAACCTCGACTCAGCTGCGCAAGCCCAGGGGGCTGGCATTGTACTAACACTTCTCTTCTAGGTTGACCAGGGGAGGCCTGAGCCAGCAGGGTTACCACTTGGCATCGGCATTATTGACCGCACTCCCCCCTTGGTCCAATCAATCAATCAATCACCATATTAATCTAATCATTACTTTACCAGCACCCTGAGAAGTCTGATGAGGATGTGAAAAAAGATGCAGCTGCTGCTCTTAGACAAGCAGCACTACAGGTAAAACATCCCATTAACTCTCCACTGTAAGCTTAAGCTTGGGGTATTTATGTTTCTGTATTTTTGTATTATTAATGGATTTTCAAAATTATTTTAGAGAGGTAGGGGGGGACTTATTGTTTGCCTCCGTGCGTGCCGTTTATTTTGGAAAGTTCCACATTGTGATGTAATTTTTTGTTAAATCAACAGCAACAGAGAATTCGCCAGGAGCACTACATGCGAATACAAGCCATGCAACAATTGCAATATCAACAATATCAACAGCAGCAGGAAGCAATCCAAAAATCCCAGGCAGTAGCAGCATATGCACAACAAGTACAAGCAGCATTTGCAGCACAGCAGCAGCCTTATTTGTTTAACAATTATAATCAAGCTCAGGGATACCTTCAACCGGTGAGAAAAACGTTGTGTTTTGTAATCTAGGTAGTCCTTAACCCATTAAAAATGTGCTCATACTAAAAACTGTTTTCCAGCAATATCCTGTGAACCAAGGCTTCGTTAACATTCTAAACATGGCATCACATTCAAGACAAGGTAATTTAACTGAGCCTCAGTGTCTTGATTATT